AAGGGAAAAAAAAAAAACCCACACTCACACTGAAGCCACAAGGGACGGTGAACAGGAAGGCAGTGACTCTGTTAGCAGCATCAATAGGAGACCGACAGCGCTCCTGGAGACAGGTAGAGGCCCCCCTCTCTGCTCCTTCCCAGCTCCAAGGATGGAAAATGAGAGGAACATGTCTTAGAGGCAAACATGCAAATGTGCCTGTCCCCCAAGGCAGAGGCTGCAGCTTCCGATAAGCCACGTGGAAGGCAGCAAGAAAGACATTTCAGGTAAGAGAAAAAGCACATGAGAGGGAAAGGATGCTAAACAAAACATTCTTAATGCATCTGTTTAGAGAAGCTTCTGGAACTGGGAGGCAATTCACCTTAATATATGAGTAACTGTAAAAACATGTATGACCAGTCCCACTTTTGAAAAATACCTGACCCGCACCCCCCTTCTGCAATAAATAAAGGAGCTATCTGCCAACTTGACGGCCAGCTTTAGCTCACAAGTCAAGTTAAATCTTTTAATTAAAGATTTATGATGTAACAATACTTAAACTCACATTGTACCTTTTCCCCAGAAAGCTCAAAAAACCTTCTGCATACCAAACTATTCAGCTGTTATAGCAATCCTGGGAATGCCTATGGGAGCCACCGTATTTTAGAAAGTACTTAAAAATAATGCTTGGCGGGCAAATTATTATTTAAAAAATATTTATGTATGTATTCTGCTATTTGAAAGGCAGACTGGCAGAGAAAGGGAAAGAAGGAGACATTTTCCAACCACTGAGTTCACTCTCCAAATGATTGCAACAGCTGGAACTAGGCCAGCCTACAGCCAGGAGCTCCATCCCAGTCCCCCATGTGAGTGACAGGGCCCAAGGACATCTTTTGCTGCTTTTCCAGGCACAGTAGCAGGAGGCTGGATCAAAAGTGCAGGAGCATGGACTTGAAATGGGTGCTCCTATATGAAATGCCATTGTCACGGGTGGTACAGTCATCTGTGTCACAATGCTGGCCACAATGGACGGTGTTTCTATGTTTTCCCATTTGCACTCTGCAATCACTTGGACAACAGAGCTGTAGCCAGCTGGCCTAGGGTAGAACGGTGTTCCCCCTGTGTTCCCTGCCACCCTTGGCTACAACCAGGTAAACAGGGACATGAAGAGGGTAAGTTCAGATGAAGGATATCCTTGGGTGCTTCTGGGACTCCCTCTGCCCAGAACAACTACAGCAGCATGAGATATGGGCAGATTTTGCTTTAAAATCCCCAGGTGATCATGCCATATCACCCAGGTTGCACACTAGTACAACAGAGGACTGTGCAAGGAGTCAGGACGCTAACCCAATCCCAGCTCGCTCATTTTGTAAGTCGCAGGCTGCAGTTCCTGCATCTGCACAGTGAGTGCACTGACATTCTTTGAGGCTAAGAAGGAATGATGTTGGGGCCAGCACTGTGATGTAGTGAGTAAAGCCATTGCTTTGCAGTGCACCCTAGCTCAAGTCCCAGCAGCTCCACTTCTCATCCAATTCCCTGCTAGTATGCCTGGGAAAGCAGTGGAGGATGTCCCAAGGACTCGGGTCCCTCAACCCACATGGGAGATCTGGAGGAGGCTCCTGGCTTTGACCGGGCCCAGCCCTGGTTGTTGCAGCCATCTGAGGAAGGAACCTGCAGATTGAACATATCCTCTCTTTGCCTTTGCATTTACCTCTCTGTAACTCTACCTTTTGAATAAAATAAAGTAAAATCAAATAAATCAAATCTTTAAAAGGGAGTGGGATGATATGTACAGATTTCTGTGGGGCACTAGAGAAAATCCCATTTCCTCTCACTGACAAGACACTATTAGACCCACCAGTGGAAATGTGTAAGAATCAGCTGGGAATTTTTTCAGTGCAGAGCCCTTGGCTGTATCCCTAGCATTCTAACACAGGTAGTCTGAGTCTGCACTTTTAGTAAGTGCTGGTGCAGGTGATCCTTGGTACCCGCTTTGTGAATCAGTGCCCTGCAAAGACAGGTTTATAGCAAGTGTGTTGCTGTAAGAGGCCTCCCTCATGGGGTCTGGGTCTCCATTCCCCTGGAGACATCTTTGGTCAGTGAAATGAGTGTGCCAGACAGCAGACACCTGGACCTGAAGCCCTGTTCTGCTGCTATGCAAGAGACAAGGGGAACTCTAGTCTCCTTGATCTGTCACTTTCCCATCTGCCAAGTAAGAAACTAGCACCCCACTTGTATACAGAAGGATTACAGAGGATGATGTGTACAATGTATAGAGACCTCATCCATATCACAGACACACAGTCTTCATGGGGAAAGGAAAACAAGAGTGATGGGCAAACTTGGAACAGAAGTATGTGTGTGTGTGCACATGTGCTCACTGGTGTAGGTGTGTAGGGACAGGACAAGGTGCAGGGGATGGTAAGGGAGATTTTGTCTTTTGTGACTTGGGCAGGTTCAGGATTAATGTCAACTGAATTCCTATTTCTCTTATAAGCATCTACAAAGTACAGGATGTAGAATAGGCAGCTCAGCTCACAATGCCTGACATGTTATCTCAGACACAACTATAGCAGCAACACCACAGATGACCAGAGCAATAATGTATGTGCTAAGCCAATCAGAAGTACAGAAGGAAGGAGAGCCCATGTGCTTTGACTAAAAAAGACAGGAAGGCAAACAGAGCTACCATTCCCTTCCTTTTGTACCTTGTGGATGACAACTGCCTACTCAGACATGCATAATAAATGGCAACATCTAGTAAGTGCAGGGAGCTGAGCTGGTTGTCAGAACTCATGGCCTCAGTGTGTCATGTGGACCCATAGCTCTCTATGATCAAGGTATTTCTCCCCGCAGACGCACTGCAAGGCCAGATGAGGTTGTTCCTTGCATTTAGTAAGTCTGATGGATCAAACCACATGTCCATCCACCCCACTGCCACACACTTCCTTCAAGTCTTACTCTGTGTGGTGCTGCAGGCCATACTCCTGGCTTCCAGCGAGAGCCTAGGGTGACACTGCGGGGGTGTCTGTCCTCACAATGAGGAAAGCCAGCCTGTACATGGGCTCCACCTTCAGACAATACCATGGTGGTCATGTTATTTGTGTGGTTTAATCAATGCCTTGTCTTCTGCTTGGCTCTTCAGATCCTGTCCATGTGAAAGGGGCTGACTGGCCAATGATAGGGGAAAATTTTCCCAAAGCTCAGTTCACTTTGGAATAGGCAGCGTTCCGCAGAGACCCTTGCAAGCCCTCCAAGCCGCATCACACTGGGAGTAAGTGGGGCACCACTATGGCTCTGAGCTCTTCTGGGACCCATTCTGGGAGACTCATGTCAACAAGCCGTCTGTGGGGGCCAGGTGGCTCCAGCCTCCTGCAGACAGCTTATGTACTAACTATGCACCATATCTGAAGTTGACTTGAAGCCCAGTGACCAAAGCATCTGAGGACTGTTCTCCAAGCTACTCAAGGAAGACGAAAAAAAGCCAAGGTTCTCCCCTGCTTTGCAGAGGAGGCCACAGCAAAGAAGTCCTCAAAACACTGAAACCACATTCCATATACATGTCAGTCTGCTGTAACTCTGGTTTAGTGCCTTCTACCTCCCAAAGCACATCCTCTGAAAAAGAAACTCAAAGACAGACCTGTGTTTGTACAAGCAATGTACTATCTATCCCAAAGGTGCACTGGAATAGCCATACCTACCTCCACCCCGCAATCTCTCACCACCAGTAGGCTGGGGCTCCTGCTAGAAGGATGTGGTGTTGCATCATCACAAACACCCTTCCAATGAAGGTGGGGCAGGGGCTGCCACAGCAACAGCTGGGAGAGACTTTCCCCTTCCCCAGGGACTGTGTGTAGTGAGTCATTTCAGGTCTCTCTTTAAAATGCAAAGCCTGGGTCAGGCATTTAGCCTAGGGGTTGAAACGCCAGATTCAACTCCCAGCTCCAGCTTCCCACCTATGCTTACCCTCTGAGTAATTGGGTTCTTGCCATCCCATGGGAAATACATAAGAAAAATGAATTAATTTTTAAAAACTTGAAATATTTATTGTATTCATTTTGGCTTTAAAATAAAGGCAAACATAGACACTATCTTACCCATCCTTTGGGATCACCATAAGGAACAACATAACAGAAACTTGAAAATGCTTGCCAGATTAAATTATAAGTCTCATATAGGAAGTACATGCTAAATCATCATAATCGTTTATATTTTCTTACAAAGGTTCCATCATCCTCAAATAAATTCCATTAAATGAAAACTAATTTCTAATGAACCCGGTATAAGTTACATGCCTCATAACAATATGGGTCTAGAATTGATCCCTGACTCATGCCAATTCTGACCTCGGCCCTGCTGATCTTCTGAACCATGCGATCAATCATTTGCCACTGCAATGAGTTCAACCCAAATGCATTCTTGAAAACTCTAAATGCATCTACAAAAACTGAAAAATCTCCAACCAACAGATATTTAGGGTAATTTCTGGAAGCAAATGAATATCTTGTCACCAGTATATTTAGGAGTAATTGCTAGAAGCACATATCTACCCTGTCAGTCTGTCACTGCCTGTTGCAGTTCTTTCTACTCCTAAGTGAGTCCTTTACAACACCAAACTCAGAAGTAGTAACTGGCTGATTCCTCTGAGTTACAGACATCTCTGTCTCCATTTCACTAACGATAGTTTTCATGCAGGGTGTTTACTGCACATTTATTGAGGAACATGGAAATGAGCGGTGAGTTGGCAGAATGATAATAAATGATCCTAATGTTATCTGAGTTACTCTCTCGCATTGACAAAGACGGTGATAAATCGGACTGTAATTAAGACAGAGAAGGAAGAGTATCACTTTTAATGTGGAGATTAATGCCTCCCAGGTCCCAGCCCTCATGACACATGCTAGCTTTTCCACCAGCATGTAATTTTAGCCAGAAACACGGAGAGCAACCCCGAGTATGGGCACCTTTTGTCACACACAGCCCCACATCCCTGTTGCTCACACACACAGGAGGTGCTTTACCTTCTTGCACACAGACGGGTTTATCACTTGGGATCCAACCTAGGGTTCCGTTCAGATGTTTCATGCACAGTCTCTTGGTAGAGCCCTTCAGCTTGAAGCCATCCTGGCAGTGAAACCGGGTCACCGAGGTTTCAAAGAAGACCCCGCTACTGGGTGTCCGGAAGCCATTCTCAGGGACGCCTGGGTCAGCACACACGTGGAGGTCATCGAACCCTACATCAACACACAGAGAGAAAGGCATCTCTGAATGCATTCTTCCAATGTCAAGAACAGCCCAAATGTAAATCGACAGCAGAGGCAGTGTGATTTCACACCCTCACCACTCTGGCTGAATCCCTCTTCCTCCCCGCCCATGGCGTCGACAGCATGGATGTGGCAGCACACGGTGCCTGCTGCATTCTGCCCTGCACCAGAGCGCTCAGCTGAGCTATCAATTCTGTGGCCAAGGCAGCACTTCAAGGAGGCTATGGGAGAAGACAGAAGGAGTAGAGGTGTCAGGAGCACACAGACATGCAAAGAGGAAGAAGGGTGGCCAGGAAAGGGTCAGAAGGGAGCTCAGCCCTGCCTGTCAGGGTGGGTAAAAACTTCTGGCAGTACTCTGCAGGGGATGGGGGTTCCACTGTGGGGGAGCCTTTAGGGAAGGACATTCTCCATGATGAGCTCAGACTGCAGTACTCAGCCAAGCAATGCCTTTTCCAGGGAGCATTCCCGCCTCCTTCAAAGCAGGAACGGGAGCCCTCCTTTCCACCAAGGCACTGTGGGCTCACTCTGACCAGCACTGCCAGTCTACTTAGCTATTACCTTTACTAGGCCACTGGGGAAGGCAAGGTCTGATTCTTTACCTCCTAAACACTTGGCATGGTATGTGTAACACGTGGCAACCATTCTACACCTGCTGATAATGAAGGATGGTTGAATTGATGGGTGGCTGGAAGGAAAGATGGCTAGATGGATGGATGAGTGAGTGAGTGAATGGGTGGATGGTTAGGTGGATATTTGAGTGGACAGATAGGTGGGTGAGTGACAGATGGAAAGATGAGCAAACAGAAAGGTAAGTGGGTGAAGGGTTGGATGGGTGAGTGAGTGAGATGGTGGGTGGATGGATGAGTGGATAGATGGGTAGACAGATCCACATGCCAACTACCCCAGTGAATCCATCAGCCAGCTGTGTCCACCTCTCCAAACAGTAGCACGGATGGCCCCACAGTCCTGGAAGCTGACAGCCACAGCCACAGCCACAGATGTGCCATGGCCCTTGCAGCACAGAACATTCTCACCTAACATCCTTTCCCCATTCTCTCTTCTCCCAACCTGAACATCTCACATTCCATAGATTTTAAGCCATCCCCCACCCTCATCCTCAGCCCCAAACACTTTAGCCTTACTCCTCACCACTGTAGGGGACAAAGGCAGGTCTAAACCAGAGTTTCAGTTGGAATCTCCGAGTGTCTCCCAACCCCTGGTGCAACTTTTACTGGGCAGTCACAACCTGATAACAAACAAGCCCTCCTGAATGCCTAATCCCAGGTTGTACTCCTCAACTGGTCACACCCTGGCCTTGGCCACAAAGCCATTCTCTCTCAGAGAAGGGTGCATCTGTAAAGACTGGACACCACCAGAGAAAGGACCCTTCTGATAATAGATGAGAAAAACAGCATGAGAGTTGCAATCTGAAAGCCACATGCTTCCTCATAAATCCAGCTGTGGACTTTAATTACTGCATCTCTTCTAGAACACTTGTCCCCACTCTCAGCTTTCACACAGCCAGGATCATTCTGTGTCCCCCAGCCTGGAACAATGCTGACAATCAGGCATGCTGCTGGTCAGGAGGTTCAGCCGCTGGTACTGCAGAGAGGAATGAGACGACAGCATGATCCCAGAAAATACCTTTTCCTCATGGACAACAAAGCCCAGCCAAGACAGTCATTTTTAGGGTCTGTGAGAGCTTCGGATTCCAAATAATTCTCTAGGGGCCTGATTCCCATCCTGAGACATTTCCTGGGGAGCCATTCAGTTAGTACCCTCCTGGGATAATGATGATGAGCCCAACCAGACAGACATCCTTGATATAATGGGATTTGGGGGTACTAAAAAAGAGGAGAGAAAATGGTCTAGGTGCAGATCCACTCAAATAATCAAATCCTAAGAATCAGTATTAATTCTCTGGTTTGCATTTTACTTGGCTCCTTAGGCAGATGCACATCCTGACAGGTAATACAGACTTCAAGGTGTCATTCCTGAACAGTGTCCCTGGCTTATACTTAGCTTTAGACCAGAACTTGACCTTAAAGCAGGTGTCTTCTCCAATTCAACTCTCCTGTGAGTTGGTATATTGTAGTTTGTGATTATAACATGACTCAAATTTGTGTTTCAACTTCCCTTCTGGTCCTGGTCAGGTCATTGCTTTTCTGAGTAACTGAAGGCTCTGTCCAGGTCCTGCCACTCCTAGGGGAAGTCCACATCAAGGTCTTCAAATGACACCAACATCATGAAAACTCCTGGAAGGGCACAGCCCTTCTTTCAGGACACACGGGGCAAGAGAAGTCATGAGCATCTGAGACCTGTGGCAGCAGCAACAGAAGAACAGGGGGCTGGCCCCTGGTGTGTGTGCCTACAAGCTGGCCCAGGAGGGCAGGTGAAGAGTCAGAGACTCAGTGAGTATGGGAGAAGGAGCGGCATTGCATTGACTGTGCTGGTTTTGACCCTGGGAACAAAGTGCCTCTGTCCTGTCCCATGTAGTTGATCCAAGAATCAATATTCTTAAAGTCTCAACTATTCCCTCCCAACCTTCAAATTCTGCCTATGCTTTGGAATTGAGTAGCAGCAGAAAATTATTTACAGAAAAAGGATCTCCAACATACTTGCTTAGTGGGGGGAGTGACAGGACAACAGAATATTCCATCTCTCTTTTTAAAATCTTTTGTTGTTTGTGATTTATTTTTTTAATATTGTTTACATAGTTGAGAGGGATGCATGCCCAAGTGATTTTCAAGTTAGGGTAGGGAGAGTCAGATCTGGAGGAAGGTGGGTGGGACAAATGTTTCCTGTTTCCTTTTTTTTTTTCTCCTATGTTTACAGGAGAAGGGAAAGGGGCCACTCCTTGCTGTCAAACTACATCAGCACTCAGGGACAGATGTTCCTTTGATGATGCCTCAGAGATCCTCATGTGGAGAACGTTCCAAGGGTGTTACTTGAATGGTTTTGATAGTTCTGAGATGTCATCTGTTTCGTTGCACCAGGGTTGAGAAAATCTTTCCAAGGTTTATTGGCTGACCAAGTCCATCTTAGTGCGTCCACAGGCCCAGGAACACGTTGCAAGGCTTAGCCAGGATAGTGGTCCAATCTGTTCTGCTAAATATCCTCTGATGAGGCACTGACATTCTCTGCTGGCCCAGATGAGCTGGCTGTCATGTTTCCCACATGCATCTGGGCATACTGTCCACTGCACAGGCATCAGCAACTGAGTTCTAATACTTGCACTCCAAGGTTGCACCACATAGATTGTGACTTTCCCTGTGACTGAGATTTGAATCCAGCCATCTAGCTGAGGGGTCCCACAAGAAACCTCACCTAGGGTGACCTCAGAATTGACTCCTGTGTGCACCAGTCAATGCAGGATGATTCAGTCTGTCACCTAAACAGCCAATGCACACACTGGTAGATGTCTTCTGCCATAAGCCCCATCTCTCATGTGAATTGATGGATGCTGCAACCTAGCCACCCCAGCCCACCACAGGCCTGGTCTTCATGCACATCAGCAGATACTGTGGCTGAACTGGGGCAACCCCAAATAACTCCCACCAGTCCCACCCCAAACCCTGGATCCCATGTGTGCTGATGGGTGCCGTGGCCCTGCCTGGCGTGATCTCCCTTAATTCTGGCCTTTGCATATGCCAATGGTGCTACAGCCTGGGCCAGGGCAGCCCAGCCCCCTCCCAGCCCTGGCTCCCATGAGTGTTAGGTGAGTTCCAATATCCAGCCTGACTCAGCTGTCATCACCTTCAGCTCTCCAAGCAAACAGGCAGGTGCTGCAGCCCCACAGAAGCAGACCCAGTCCCCTACAGAATCTGCCCTCAGATCCAGTTCTTTCACATTCTGGTGTGTTTCAGTCCAGCCTGACATGCCCCACCCCCTACTCTAACATTCCTGAGCAGGTACTATGACCTATCCTAGACATGCATGCTCTCAAGCCCCAGCTTTTGTCTGCACCAGTGGACAGTGGGTGATGCTATTTAGTCCAGCCCAGGTTTCCCACATGGTAAATGCCTTAGCCTAACTCAGACATGCTCTCCAGTTTCCCTCCTCTAAACTACTCTGTCTCAGCTCCCTAGCCTACATGTAAGAGCAGCAGCCCAGTCCATGGGAGACCCAGAAGTCATTCCTCTCCTGTCAAACATGTCTTCAACTGTTCCCACTCCAATATGTCCCCAGCTACCCGCCCACTTCCACAGATAATCTACAGTGCCCACCCCACCTACCACCTGGGGGCTGGGTGATGTGTCCTATCCTGGCATTCCCTGTCTTCTCCACATATTTAAAAAACTTTAAATGAGAATAGGCAACTATGCTTGCACACTGCCATAGTTAACACCAATTTGGCATTAACCAGGTCCAGAGTGCCTACCAGTTCCTGGTTTTTCTCCTAGTAGGTCACACTTGCCTAGGTATAAAGCAACCCAGGCAACTGCCTACCATTGGGGCTTTTTATAATCTTCAAAAAATTTTTGACATCACATATTTTCAGCTTACAGTCAAAGGCTTAAGCTCCACTAAACAGAGTTCAACAAACAAAAAGCTAAAAGACCCTAGGTCTTCCAAATGGCCTCTATCAACACACAGTTGCTGCTTCAGAGTGGGTCCTGAGGTACAGGAGACAACCACTCCAAGGACTAACAGTGTGCCTGGACACTGGGATGTTACTTTGGCTGCATCTGAATGGGGAAAACTTCTGAGGAAGGCAGATCTGTCCTCATGTGGGTGTGACCCATCCTTTCCGATGAAAGAACAAACAAAAGGTCAAGTAAGAACACATCAGCTCTCTCTGCCTTACCATCCTCCCTGAAGATATGCCTGGGAATGCAGAGGATGGTGGCCCAAATGCTTGCACCCCTGCACCCACATGGAATACTTGGATGAAGTTCTTAGCTTTGGTATGGCCCAGCCCCAGGCTGTTGCAGCCATTGGGGAGTGAAGCAGTAGATGGAAGGTCTCTG